TCAACGCCTGCACCGCACTGCTGGATAACAAGGTGACCGTGGCGTCTTTCGGCGACGCTCAAATCGGCCGATCCGCTCTGAAGGAGCTCCTGGGCAAAGTCAGCTTGGAGACGCCGGAAGATAACCTGCCCAGTTTTGACAAGATGTACTGCGAGGTCGAGATAGCGACGCACCAGGGGCCGAGCTACACAGCCAGATGTGACACTTTCTACGGCCACTGGCGGAAGCCGCTGACTCTGAAGCACCTGGTGGATAAGTTCAGTGTGAATGCTTCGTCTGTGCTGTGCACAGAGGGAGTGGAGGGGGTCATTGATGTTATAGGAAACATTGAAAGGGTGGCAGATTGCTCAATATTGGGTTCATATCTGAGAATGACAAGTAATCAAGAGCACCTTGACAGAATGAGGATTTTGTAATTACACACTCATATCTTTATATGAAGCTTTGTATTCTTTTCAAGAAAGTACGAATTAAATAATAACCGTGTAAATATGTTGTACATACTTTTTCTCTTCTGTGGTCAGAAATAAACTGAACCTTTTTTCTTGTATTCGTTTATTTCTTTATTTGTTTCTGAGAACATTATCCTCACCTGCAGCTGATTCTCTAAAATGTGACAGATATGGGGCGGAGCCACGACAGCAGCAGTAAAACTGACACGCAAACTCAAAAATTCAGCTCACAAGGAGCTCAGTTCTGCTACTCTAGATTATCTTTTAGTGCTTTTAATCACTTCAACACCATTCTGCAACCAGCTCAGCAGACATCTACCGCACAGCTTGCAAAAGTCTTTTCCTTGCTTCGACCTTCTACTGATTACACTCAGGCGAGTTTCAGGACGCCCTGGACCATCGATCCGATTCCGTCAAATATCTCGTGGATCGGAGCGTTGCACATGAAGGCACAGGTGGTGACCAGCTTGTTCTTTTCGTCCACGTGGCTCTCGCCGACGCCCTTGCTCACGTGCTTGCAGCCCAGCTGGTTGATGGCCGCTGCAGTGTCAGCGGTGTCTGGATACCTGAGAGGTGGGGGAGAAGAGGCACTACTTAATGTTTTGCTGCTCAAAGCAGATTTCTGCAAACATCTTAGGAACATTTGAGGTTTTGCTTTTAACAACTGGAAATTTATATTTATATGTTTTGGAGATGCATCAATTATGCCTGCAAACTGCATTTACAGAGGGACTTTCCACCTTAACATGGAAAGAACCCAACAGTTTTTGCTTCCTATTTACACAAACACACCAGTGATTGTCCTGTCAATCAAATATTTAGCATCCTGCACAGTGCACCAGTGGGTCTCACTCATTAACTACCTAATATCTAATCTGCCAATCACATTACAGCAACATTTAGGCATGTAGACACGGTCAAAGACTGTGTGTTGAAGAGCTAAATCACTCAAAACAGCCAATATTTTATAAGAAAGACCTTTGTTTACCCAGCACAAAGGGGAAAAATAACTAGCATCCAAATCAGATATCTACTGAAACATGCATTAGTTACTGGTATCAGCCACATTTATGTAAAAGCACACTTGAAAGGAGACATCAGCCAGATTAAATGTTTACATGGTACATTTTTTCTTCTATTCTGTTAATTTTTTAAAATAATTTTATAATATTATTTTGCCTGTAAACAAAATCATGATCTCAACTGATTGTTGGCTTTGACATCTGTCAACCGATCAATTGGTCCAAGTGTCAGTCAGCCACCACTCTGACAAAGACGGATCCTCTCCTAAGTCCTTTTTTTAAATCTAACACTGTAATCAAATTAATTTGTCATGGAAACAGGAAGAAATTGTGCAACAGAACAGGCAGACTGGCTGTAAACAAGCCCACGCCCAGCACGTGGTAGTCTCTGGAAACAACTGTTTGCACACAACAATTGCAACATTTAAAAGTCCAAACTTAAAACGCAAACAAGGAAGTCCATGTTGCATTTCTCACTTGTCGTCCTTTTCGATGCCGACGGTGACCTCGCACCCGGGGATCACTTTGGCAGCCAGCACAGGTGAGATGCAGCAGAGGCCGATGGGTTTGCCTTCGCTGTGGAACGCCTGCAGAGCAGCCTTGACCTCGTCATTTACAGAGCAGTCCTTGCCCTGCACTGCCCACGTACAGAGATTCTTCGCAGCTCCAAAGCCGCCTGTAAAACACCAAAAATGAGGAAGAGGTGTGATTAATGTCTGGATGTACATAAGCCAGAAATACAAACTTCAGTTTCGACCTTACTCAGACCTTCCCAACATCTTTTTTCTGTAGGCTTCGATTGTACCAGCGAAATACATATGAACACAAACCTGGGAAAATAACAGCGTCGTGCTCTTTCACGCTGAGCTTAGACAGATCCTGGATGTTTCCACGGGCCAGCCTTGCGCTCTCCACCAGCACATTCCTCTTTTCCTGAGAAGGCGCACCTTTCAGGTGATCTACCACATGCATCTGGTCAATATTGGGTGCGAACATGTTGACCTGGAGGTGATAAAAGCAGCAGAGACGAGTTCAAAAGCAAAAAAAAAAAAAAAAAAAGCACACCAGGCAACTAATAATGATTGTTAACATCACAAATCTTGAAGCTAACTCAACAGAACTTCTGTCAGAGCAGCATTTCAAAACCTAAGAATATCTGCATTTCGCAACACTTTCCCTGACTCATAGTGGACCTTTGACTGATGACTACTCTTGTAAGCTTGAGACATGTGTCTGGGTCATTCCATGTTAATTCCTGAAAATGAAACTTTGTAAGAGGAATTTGAGAAAATTTCCAGTCCCAACTGTCATTTCTGTCCTTGAGGGAAAAAGAGAAATCTTTCACGGGATGAAGGCAGCTCTGTTTTTAAACATTTATCTACCATTGTTGTTATGAGGGGTTAGCTAAGTCCTTAAATATGTAGGGTAAATATGAGGTATGGACTCTAAGGAGTGCAATTTGTAACAAGGTAGCAACTTGTAATGTGCAGTAATAAGACATGGTGCATAATTGAGAAATTCTCTAACACCAATCAAAGTAGTAATAACAATAATACAGTGATATTAATAGTTGTAACCACTTAGTATTACTAAACAGAAGTCCTAACACACGAGGGAAGAAAGTGTTTCAATGCATGTCTTATAGAGGGTTACCTGAAGTATGTGTGCTTTTCTGTTACTGGTGGCTCTTTGAAGAGCACCAAACCTTTTAATAGGCAGGACAAAAATTTCTGTTATGAGATATGCCTGACCAGTTGCTTTGGTGACTGATTAGTCCAGCTGGAGGGTTACGATTGGTTATATTACTAACAGAAATGAAGAAACGCCTCAAGCCTCAAAACTAAAAGAAGTCTCATTAAAACATAAATAAAATTCAAATCCCATCATGGTCAGCTTGCACCTCTACATGCAGAGCGCTAAATAGACACCAGGTGGATGCTTCCACTCAGAGGCTCTAAGTTAATGTGATAAGTTTTTGAATTAATTTCCTCAGAGTGCCCCAGCCAAAACTGCAACACTTATAAACAGATTTAACTGCACACATAGGTAGAGTTGAAAGGCTTGGAAAAGAGTCACTTGGCCATTTAGAGGTTTGCACTGCTGGTAAGAAAAAGGACACACTATCACGCTCTCTGGGCCCGTTTTCTGGACTTTTACAAACCATTCCTTTAAGGCCGGTACAGAGAGCTGCTGAAAGTACACAGGCCTTCACATTTCACTGAAGCTACCCATCAGCAGCTCAGACAGGACCACATACTGATCAAACTGGCTGCCTCAGGGACCCTTTCAAACGTCCAAATAATGAAAGAGTTGCCTTATAAGAAACAACCAATTAAACTCAGATGTGGCATCCTTCCTGCTTAACCAGTGAAGGCTGTTATCGGCTATAAAACATATATTAGTACTGGTGCATTTGTCAAATATGAAAACTTCTCTGGGAATAATGGAGAAAATGATGGTGTCAGCAGCAAAAATCTTGTTATGTCAGGACACAGTTTGTTCAGCAGAGTGCAGCATTTTCCCTCAGCAATTACTCTAAAAGACCCACCACAGCTTGAAACATTTACTACACAAATAATAGCACACCATACTTACTGGCAAAAAATAAATAAATAAACATGGCGGACCAGATAAGCTTTACTAAGAATTGGGTGTTTTTTTTTTCTTGGGGGCAGATAACTGTTGAGGTTAAGGAACTTTAAATACTTCGGTGCATTTCAGTCGTTTATTATTCAGCAGTTTGCACAAAACATTCTGCGAGGCTGTTCGTGTCACTGTGCGCAGTCTGGTTAACAGGTAGAGGTCAAAGGACGCTCACGGGTCGGACTGCAAATAAAAAGTGCAAAAATCGTAGAAACTGCCCAGCACGGAGCAGTGGAAGCGGACAAACTGGAAGCTAATGAACATTTCTGATGTGGTGTTCCCTCCAGGGGCAGCGGCAGATAAAATCAGCGTGTCACACTTACAGTCGCACCCCCTCTGCTCAGATGGACCAAAACAGCGGAGGCCTCGTGGATCTCGCTGCCGTCATAGACGCCGCAGCCCGCCAGCACCACAGCCACGCGTTTGCCCATCTGCGCTGAATAATAACTGCTGCTCACGGTCTGGAGGGTCCTAGCTGTCAGTAAGTTGCGACCACAGTGCTGCAGAAGACTGAGCATGGCGGACTGTCAGCGGATGCCGCTTCTTCTTCTGCGCTTTAAAAAATAGTTTGACGCGCCCTCTTACGCCATCGTGTGTCCTCACCTGAGCACTACAGCTTTTTAATAATTGAGTAATACTTAGATTGAACTGCTAAAACTGTGTTTTAAATATAAAGGTTACAAATATTTTGGTAAATATTGTAAAAAAAAAAACATGACTCAAAAAACATGTTTTAGAAAGGTTTTTAGCTAAATGTGGAAAAATTGCCATTAATTTCAGCATGTTTCAGTTTACAAACGGCGCCCCATATTCTTGTCTGGTTTTGTTGATGATACCAAATCACATGACCGGTGTGGTCATGTGATTTGGTATCATCAACAAAACCATGTGATCTGTAATGAGGAAGTTAGAGGCGGTGAGTCATGGGAAGATAGTCCTCTTCGTAACTGCTGTTTTTTTGGTGTTTGTGTTTTTACGGCCTTGACATGTTTTACACGGAGGTCGTTCTGGGATTCAAACTGCTCCTCTTTCTGCACGTCGTCGCTCAGTTCAGGATTAATGGACAGCAGAAGTGGCCCGTACCCTACAGGTATAAAGACCGCACACCTTTCCACGTTCACTCCGCTCTTTAGCGTTAAATCATGTGACAGATAATGAAGAAAACTGGAAAAGGCGATCAAATAAACCTCGTTTTCAGTTACGAATGGTCGCTTAGTCCGTTTTGATCAGTACAAAGTTCACAACTTTTGTTTTTTTCCTAGAAAGCGTGTCTGTTCCGATGTTACACGTTCACTGACATGTTAAGAAGACATTTTGTGATTTTGTGTGTTCTTGTTGTCCCAATAAAGCCTTATTTTAGACAGCAACCCGAGGAAGTATTCGTGGTACGTTCACGTGACTTAAAAATGTTGGAATCTGGAGTATCTCAGTTGTGCAGCAGAATTAGTGGAGTGGGTTTCATACATTTCCAAAAACGCGCCACAAAAATTTATGTAATGGCTCTGTGACCTTCTGTCATCAGCAGGCAGCAGTTCATCTAAAGTGGATGTGCCAGAAATTTTTGCTGCATTTCTGGCTGTTTCTACACTTTAACCTGCATTTGTGGATGGTATGGTGATACAGACATCCATTTCTGGAAGTGTTCCTGAGCCCGTGCAGTGATTTCCATGAAAGAATCATGCCTGTTTTTAATGCAGTGCTTCAGTATTGAGTTTTGACCTTGGTGTTTGTGCACAGAGATTTCTCCAGATTCTCCAACTCTTTGGATGATATTGTGTCTTGTTGATTGAAAGTTTGAATTTACACTAAGGAACATTATTCTGAAAATGTTCCCAATTTGTAGACGCCTTGTTTTGGGGATTGGTAGACCTTTCCCCGTCTTTACTTTTCTCTAAGAAGCTCTTTTTGACCTGATTATGTTACTGACTTGTTGCCATTTAACCTAATTAGCTGCTAAATGTTCTTCCAGCTGTTAACCTATTTTTCCAGCCTTTTGTTGCCCCCATCCCAATTTATTTTTCCTAAATTGGTACAGTCTTGTCAGTTACAACATCTGATATATTTTCTAAGTTGTATTGTGAATACATTTTTTTTGAGGTTTGCAAATTATAACATAATTTTATTTACATTTTAGTATAAATTAAAACAGTGTCACAGCTAGTTCATATTTGAGTTGAAATATTATCCTAAATAACATATTATTTAGGATAATATGCTCGTTTTTGTAGAGCAACATGAAGTAGCTTTGGGCTCGCAGTGACTTTAACCTTGACCAACCATCTGACGTGTCTCATGTCACCCACAGGCGGTTCGATCGTCGGCCTGATGTGGACTCTTACTGTCAAGCTCTCTATCCGTTCTGCCCCACCGGAGACCCAGATGGACGGATTCCCTACATGAGAGACAGCGACACCATCTCGGTGTATCGGCTGCAGACTCCAGTGTGGGAATTCAAGTATGGAAGTTTGCTGGGAAAGTTTGTAAGTGTGTAATTTGAATTCTGAAATGTCTTTTTACAAGTCAGGGATAAAGCAAAAAGCACCAGGGCACATTGTTCTTTTCGTATTTAATATTTTATTCTCTAAAACAGAAGTGAAGGGGCCGCTGTGTTCTGGCTAATAAAAATAGTCCCTCTGTTAAAACAGAAGTGAAGCTGCAGCTACATTATTCATAGAAACACACACACACACACACACACATAAAACCAGAGTATGTTTCTGTTCTCTTTACAGCACATCATGCATGATGCTGTTGGGTTCAGCAGTGCAGAAACAGGAACCAACTACACCATGGAGTGGTACGAGCTGTTTCAGCTGGGCAACTGCACTTTTCCTCACCTCAGACAAGACGTGTACGCACCTTTCTGGTGCAACCAGGGAGCTGCCTGCTTCTTTGAAGGCATCGATGATTTACACTGGTCACAGAATGGCACCTTAGAGAAAATTGGAGTAATCACAGGTAAGACTTGACATCTGTGCACAGAGAAGCCGAGATAAAACTAGATATGTTACATCATCAGTGGATATGACTGGTGATAATGTGGATTTTACTACAAATATATCCTGCAGAGCATGACCCTGAAACAGCTTATTTTGCTTTTGTAGTTGTAAAACTACAAAATTTGTACTTTGTATTGAGTCAGATACACATCCAGGGTACTTGGTAATCATGAAAACTGTAGAAAGACAGCATGTTGAAACAGAAATTCTGCATTGACTGTTTCACTGGCTTCAGGAGGCCCTGGATAGCTTCCAAAACCCAAAACAGGCAGTTCTGGTTTTGTGACTGATAGCTTGTCTTGTCCAGGGAGAGCTAGAGCACATCCAAGAATTAAATGCCTCGAACATATAAAATGTTTTTTACACTCTTGTCTTCTTGGACTTTCTGCTTCACACCCATTTTTTTTTCTGGTATTAACATGTTTTTCTTTAATTCTCCAGGGCAGCAGTTCAACGACATGGCCCGCTGGGTGCAGGAGGACAACGAGACTGGGATCTACTACGAGACGTGGGCAGTTCGGTCCGACCCCAGCCCCAACGCCACGGTGTGGTTCGAATCCTATGACTGTTCCCAGTTTGTCCACCGCACATACAGGAAGCTTACAGAGCTGGGAGCCAAACTATCCAGCCGATCACAGACCAACTACACCAAGATCTACCTGTACAGCGGAGAGCCCACGTACCTCGGCAATGACAGCGCCATTTTCGGACAGCCTGCTCTGAAAAATCTGGCATTGGACATCCGTAAATTTTACCACACATTTAGGCCACACCAGACATTTGCAGATGCCATGATCAGTCTGCTGGAGGCTTTTGAGACGGTCGTGTTGGAAAGGAGCTTCTACCTCTACTACAACTTTGAGTACTGGCATCTGCCAATGAAACCTCCATATGTGCGGATTACATATGAAGAAGTGCCTTTGCCTTAAAATCCCATTTGACTACTAATTTTTTATTTTATTGGTAAATAGTATTAGCTGAAAGGCTAATGACAACAATATTAACATAAACTTCAATGAATGGTTAATTTGTTTCTTCTATTTGGAAATGGCAGCCAAGAAAAAACGTTTCAACTAAGTTGTCACGTGACTATGAAGTCCTTCAAAAGCTAAATACACCCCACGATTCAGTGGCTTGCAGAAGTAACTAGTCATTGTTTTCTATATGACTTACATATACGTTACATTACTGCATCATTACATTATTCATCAGTGCACAACCTTCCTAAGGTCCTGTGTAGCCTTTTAATCAGCTTGATGTCTGAACTGTGGCTCGGTCATAATAACAATAACAACAACAACAAAAATTCAGCTATTTCGTTGTAGACTTGCTGCTGTGCTTGAGATCTCTGTCCACTTGGAGTATGCAATTTCAGCCAAGCTTTAGCTTATATTCTAGTCAGATGGCCTCACGTTTGTCACTAGAATACTTTAGTATACAGAGTTCATGGTTGGTTCAGTGACTGCAAGGTCCTCAGGTACTGTGGCTGCAAAACAAGCCCAAATCATCACCCCTCCACCACCGTGCTTGACAGCTGGTATGAAAGATTTATGCTGATAACACTGTTCTGTGCATTATGGCCGCTTTGGTCTTATCTGTCCAAAGGACATTGTTGCAGAACTCCTGTGGTTTGTTCTGATGCAACTTTGCAAAGCTAAGTCATGCTGTCATATTCTTTTTAGAAAGAAGAGCTGCTCACACTTGCTGATGTTAATCAGTTAATCAAGTGCATTTGATTAGCATCACCTAGCTGCTACTTAAACATGTAGTCAACCCACAAACGCCACTTCTCGGCCAGGAAAAGTCCTGCTAAATGTTTCCGAACATTTAAACACTGGAAAGTCCAGAAGTGCTGTTTTTTGTTTTGTTTTGTTTTTTAAACTGGTATTACAAACACAGAATGAAGCAGGAAATGCACTCAGCAGATCTGTACATAATGCTCCTTGGTGAGAAATACTGAATTGAAATCTATTTTCTCTTGAAGAAAGTGAGGTTTTATCCTTTATGATTGAAACGTTTCACAGGACTCAGGTCCTCCAAAAAACTAAGTACACCCTGAATGCTTCCATAGGAATTAAGTGCGATCAGTCCACACACAGTAAAAGCAGGGATTCTGAGTTAGCTTATTTGACAAATCTGCATTTTCCTGTTATTTTTGGACATATGACCAAAAAGACTTCTTGATAAATAAAAGATGCATGTACAACCCCACCCCTTTACTTCATTTCTTCTTGTTATTTAAGAAATAATAATTTAAGAAAACTGCTCATACATCTTCTCATCTCAAATGCATCCCATTTTTATAACAGAGTCCTTTTATGGAGTTTAACTACGTGTGTTAATAAAGAAAAATAATTACATGAAAGTTGCACAAAGTACATTCACAAATTTTTATTACAGTGTGAGATCACATGTCCAAAACGATTTTAATTTCAAGACAGGTGACCAGTAAAGCAAAGCAGACAAAGCTTTTGTCATACAGAAGCAAAACTAGAGGAGTGTTTAACACCTGTTAACTCCCAAATAAAGTTCAAATAATAATTATGACAATCATATTTGTGACAAAATTTAAATAATGCTCTCTCGGTCAGCATTTACCATGTGAAGCATTTTTTTCCCAGCCGAATAGTCCAATAAAAGCAAATACAGACAAGCTCTCAGTGAAAACAGGCTTCACGTTAGGGCCACTGTTTAATGCACTGCACACATTTTCAAATAAAATAACCAGGAGATGTGTTACTGTACCCTTCAGATGCTAATGTACATGAGCAAAGATATCCACTTCTTCAGTGATGAGAAACAAATACTGTGAAGAGGCTATATTCATTCAATAATACTAAGAAGCACCTCTTGCAACAAGTCTCAGTTATTGTATATGAAATAAAACTTGAGTAAAAAAGGAATGAGGCAGAAATAAACTACATTTTTATTGACATGCAGTGCTGCATAAGGTTTGTCCACTACCAAAAACCTTTAAATATTTAATATGTATACGCCATAAATGCATACTCTTTCTCCATCTTCCTCCCATTACCCCAAGCAGTTGTGTGGCAGATGGCCGCCCCTCCCTGAGCCTGGTTCTGCACGAGGTTTCTTCCTGTTAAAAGGGAGTTTTTCATTCTCACTGTCACCAAGTGCTCGCTCATAGGGCGTCATGTAATTGTTGGGGTTTTCTCTCCATTACTATAGTTTTACCTTGAAATATAAAGCACTTCAAGGCAACTGTTTTTGTGTGTGTTTTGTTAAAAACGCACACACAAAACAGGGTCTTTTTCCACTACATTAAAGGAAGTAATAAAATCCCTCCAAGGATCGAGTTTGTGGTAGTGGACTCAAAACATTAGGACCACCTGTATCCAACAAAACCACGGCGACAATAGGTGGAAGCTAAACCCAGCTAAACAAAGAAAAATACCACTGCTGGTTGCTTTTGTTTAACTGAAAAACTGAAATTCATTAAAAAAAGCATAATCCCTATTAATCAATTACACAGGTTTTAACTTCTCTAGTGGCTATAGTATGAAAAAGATCCTTCTAGTAAAGGATAACTTGCACTCTGGTTTTATAAAAGACAAGCCACCAGTTAAGGAAACTTCAAACCCTGACAGAGGGTGAAATATAGAAATACATTTCTACTCATAATAAACACACAGCGTTTTTATATACAGATGCATTTGACTTCCTTCTTAAAGGAAAAAAAAACTGTTTCACTCATCTGACTTGCCAAACCTCTTGACTGAAATGAATGGATGTTTGGAACACAAGAAAAATCTGCAGACAGTGTTTATAATGGATGAATACTGCTTCCTCTCATGTATACAAGATAGCATGATGAAGAAACAAATGTGGACTAATTGGAAGGGCAGATATATCCACAACAGAGAACCAGGGTTTAGAGCTTGAACAGGCAAATAGCAGAAGATACAAATGAAACCTACATAAAAAATATTTTCATTTTACTGCATCTGAGAAACACAAATGGGTTGGATTTGCATTTCCAGCATGCACTGTAAGCCAACAGCCATACAGACTAGTCTACTGAATCATTACAAATTAATCTGAGCGTGAAGAACTGAGACCGCAGATCTCTACCCTCCAAATTCAGACATTTCTGTGCACTATTTACATAGAATTATTTGATTGTTTTAATTAGAGCTTTACAACTTCAATATGCAGCACTTGGGGATTTGACTCAACAAAGCCCCAGTACAGTATAAATAATCACCATATTTGGTCTCAAGGACCAGGTGTATTCCATCTCATTTGGTATTCATCTAAGGTGCTTAAGAAATCTAAAACTGTACATAAACCTTTTTCCAAAATAGATAAAATCATTTATCAGGCCAATTTGTGTTTGATGCAGGGGGAGAAGAAAAAAACCCTCCTCAAAATATAACTTTGAGAAAAAATAAAAATCAATGACATCAATCAACACTGTACACCTTCACGTCACAATTTAGACACCTATATACACACACATTTCTTTTTCTCTCCGCCATCTTCCATTTGTTCAACAATCGTGGTTTGTGAGACACGACTGGAGCTCCCCAGGCGAGGAGGACAAACAACACAACCACTGTTCTTTAAATTAGGTTAAAATGAGGTGTAGGACCCAGCTACTCTTCTGCAAAATTCAGCCACACATGACAAATACACCTTCTGTCACATCCTATGTACAGACAACCATGCGGTCAATGCCATATTGTATTGCAGAGTGCAGAGCTGCTATCTCACACCGGATTTATGTAGGCCAAGTGGTAGCGTAACAACATGCTATTGTGCACCTAATTGTCCCAATTTACTGCTCAATGTTGGAAAACATGTAAACACCCACCCGCACGTTCACACATAAATGCACATACTCACACACGCCTCTCACAACACACATTATGAGAGGGGTGTGTAACTGCAAACTCCATTTGCAGTTATAAAAACATTGCTTTTTAGTTCAATTTCCTCTTCTGTGGGTCGAAGCCAGCTTGCTGAATTCCATCTATGGATTAAGCAGAGCAGGAATTCTGTGGCATTTCCATGATAATGTGATAACATTGTGTTGTTGTCGAGTGCCACATTACATCCCTGCACTGCTAACGAGAGTTCAGCAAGTTCATGCTCTCCATGCTGTCATCGAGCTTCCCAGCTGAGGCTTTTCAACGCAACATGGAGGCAATGATTGTTGCGCACCACAAACCCGACATACTGAACTCTGAGCACAGGCTTCACTCTCTACCAGGTCGGCATCATGTCTGGGAACCAGACCCGGCCCAGATGCTTCGACACCTCCCAGTGAATCTCATCCAGGGAGTATTTGTGATCTGGAATCAGTACCTCCTCCATGATGGACAGCTGGGACAGTCGGCGGCCGCACATTTTAACGAACTCCACAAACGCGCTGCAGGACACTTCGCACTCACCCAGGCCGATGGCTGACAGCTGGGTGCAGTGTTTGGCGATACGGATCAGCTCCTCATCCAGAGGACGCAGGCCGTTGGCGCACACGACCAGCTCCACCAAACGAGGGCAGTGGAGGCCCACTCGGCCCAGGACCTCTTTGCTCACTGAGCGCCCGAAGTAAAGGTGTGTGACCGGGATTTCCTCATTAAAGAAGGGCCCGAACTCGTCCTCATAGAGGAAGAAGTACATGACCAGGTTAAATTTGGGCGAGTGCCGCATCATAGCGTCCCAGCTGCTCTTCTTGATGGTGTGGAAGTGCTGCCCGGGGTTTTCGCTCACCACATCAATTCGCAAGTGTTCCAGGTGGACGTGCTTCTCAGAGGAGAGCGCCAGCAGGAGTTCATCACTCAGGAGGTGGTAGTTTAGCGCTAGCTCTCGGAGCCCGTGACACTGGTCTGCCACACACAGGATTCCTAAAAGCACAGGCAGATCGTTTCAATTAATGCGACCAATTCTCAAATCATGTTTTCACTTTCAATCAAAGAACAGGTTGACTGCATCCCCCTGACAAGTTGCAGTTTAATCAGCAATCATATTAGCTCAGAATTTCAGGAAAAGGGGATTTCTCTCATATAATCTCAGATGGTCCCTCATCAGACCTACAAATTGAAGGATGGTCTAAATGTACTGAGTCATTGAGGTTAAAAGTTAGTTTCCCACTACCAGTTTTACAGACATATAGTTTTGACTCTTCTCAAGTTTTTTTAAATAAAGAAATAAAGTTCAGCTATCAACTCATCAGTTATGTCAAAACCTAAACAATTTATCTCTCTGAATAAAGTTCTGTGTGATTTTTCAATCAATACATCGTAAAGTACACAAGTCTTGAGCCACCTCTCGTTTTTTTATACGTTCCTCAAAAATGTAAAATATGTGCAGCAGTTTATTCAAACATTGACGCATAAATGGAAACGCCACGCATAAGGCAAAAACAGAGTCTGTGCAACAATAAAGGTGATCAACTTTGGTATGATCGCTTTTATTCTTCAACACAGCCTGAACTCTGTAATGCAAACTTTACTGAAGTAGCCTTCAGCAATAGTTATCCAGGATTCTTGAAGGACATGCTAATTGTTATGTTTGGATGTCGGCTGCCTTTAATGCTGTGGGATCATCTCAACAGAACACTATGTAAAGATGTGTTTCAACAGCTGAGAAGGCCAATCAATGATTGATGGTTTTTCTATCCAGGCATGTTATGTACACAAGATATAGTCATCCTTTGAGTTAGGCACCTTTTTATGCTTGGGATGATTCATAGGTCAATGTTATAAACAAAAACATTACTTGGAAAATGTTCAGGTACAAGGACTGTAAAGCAGCCAATGTCTGAAGAAAAACTTTGAAAAGACCTTCAGAAGGTCTGACGAACTACTGATAATGACACCCAAATTCTGTCTTTCTTTTAAGCAAAACAAAGCAATGAGTGGTGGCTCAAGACTTTTGCACAGCACTATACTCATTTTCCATTCATGCTGGAAGTAGAAAATAAATAAAAACACATGCACTTAGACTGTACCTGCAGGAGAGACGTGAGGGCAGCTGCTCATTTTCAGCAGTTTCAGGGTATCGCTGTTGTTGGCCACCAGCACCTTCAGAGATGGATCATCAACTGGCGTGTCGTCAATCTTCAGCGAAGACAACGATTTGGAGTTGACGAACACCACGGTCAGGGCGGAGATGAAGTGAGACTGTGGAAGGACAAACATGACACATTGAATTGTAACGATCTTTAAACCTGACTGACGCCTTCGAAATGCCAGATTTAATCAACTGTGTCTGGAATGATCTTTTACCCAAACATAATCTGTCCCACTAACATACAGTTTTTTGGTGGGCCTGGTACGTCAGGCAGACCTCTGTCATGGCTCACACACCACTATTTGTAATTACTGAGACAACCTTAAACTTAAGAATCTACTACATATAACAATACAAACACAATCTGCAATCTGAGTACAGTAAGAAACCCTAATGTAATCACAATTAGTGGGTTAAGATTACATACAAATTTAATTTGTAGATTTAATCTGTAGACAAGGTAAACAAATTTGAAATAAAGAAACGCGTGAAACGGGTGTGTTCATTTGTGTCTACTGCATGGGTGGACCTCTGAATTAATCTTAAGCTTTGGTGCTGCAGACAGCTAGACTGCATACATCTGTATTACAAACTGAGGACAAGGAAATGGGGAAACCTTTTTGTGCAAAGCATTGGAAGGGTGTCTATTTGACTTTATGGTACATATTATAATAGCAAAAAAGTATTTATGATGAAAATGATGTAATATGTTATTATTTTCCAAAATGTGGAAAAAACAAGTCTTTGTTTTTTTGCATTCAGCTTTCTTTTGGTCCAAATGCTTCAAACAAATGTCCCCTCTGACAGAATGTGAGTAATAATGGCAATTTTGAGAAGATTTTATTATGCCAAAAGGTGTTTTCGCAACTTGGCAACTAGCACCGCATTGTGAGAAAATCCAAGAACAACACGTCCTCTAATATTTATCCACAGTCACACAAGAAGCAGCACAGGCTGTGAGAGGCTTATGCTGTCTTTAAAACAGAAGCTAAAAGGAGCACACCCTGGTGAACGAGTGAGGCCGTTTGCACGTTTCAAGTTCTATGACGTCATCACAGGTTCTTAAACAGCTTTTGAATGTCACAAAGATCTCAAGAGTTCATAAACAAGTGATTTTTTTCTACTTTAACCTAAAAGTTCTTAAACTTGATTTTGAAATATTCAAAAGAATTCAACTAAGATTGTTAAAAACTGGCTCAGGAGGCTCAAAGGTTTTAAAATGCGAACTGTGACGACAGTGGGTGTGTCAGTTTCTACACATAGCAGAACGTGCAGCAGGTTCCAATCCTTGATAAAACAAACACACCAAAAAAAGAAATGTCCAGCCCTTAGCCTAGTTTGCTCAATGACATCTAGATTCCATGAAACCTGGTTCAAGGAATAGAGCTCATGATATGTAAATAAAGAAAGTCCTGTGTCCTTTTGAAAATGTGGGACTGATAATAAAAGTGTCATTTGCCATGCATAAGAATGCTGCTTTTGAGACCCAATCTCAGATAAGATGAGACTGTGGATGAGAGGGGATGTACACTAAAACAAGAATTCCTTTGATTTTGCTTACAAATCTAAAGAGCAGGACACTGTAAAGACCCAGACTCCTCGTGATTGTGTTAATTATACCTTTGGAACCTCCATGAAACTGGGCCTGGCTGTAGAGATGAGGCCCAAGGTCTTCAGTGAGCAGTTCACCAACTGTGAAAGAATGTCACAAGCTGCCTCTGCAGACTCCATACTACTGTCAACCTGATAAGAACAAGGAAAAGATTGCATATCACTCGAAAAACATCCAAGAAACATTTTTAAACAGAAGCTGCTTATGAACGTTTGAACCCAGAATGAGGGCACACGCAGTTACACAGACATTTTTACCTTGAAGCTGACATACTGCAGGTGATTGGAGTGCCTCTTTATGATCTGCTTAATAAGATCTGGATGTGTGGCTTTTAGGTAAGAGCTGGCTGGCTGGTTGAGCTCAAACTCAAAGCATCTCCACAGCTCAGGCATGTGGAAGGCTTGGTTCCACCCACGGCACACCTGGGAGGCATAAGCCCGGTCCAGCAGTGGCAGGTACTGGAAGATATGCAGCAGGAGCTCTTGAGGCAGCCGTGCCCAGTTACAGTCCAGCGACTCAGCCACATGTGGCTCCGAATCCTCGCTCAACTGATTTCGCACCTTCTTGCAAACCTCCGCTGGACTCTCACAGGAGGAGTCATCGCTTCCCCCCTCTCCTCCTTTCATCCGTTTCATCTTTTACAAAATAAAATGCACTGATTAATAAATCTACACATGCCCATTACTTTAGAAACGTGTGCCAATCTTCTGAAAGGTGTCTAATCAAGGACGTCACGAATCAATAAGCTCTAGCTGCAGCCCTGCTGTCCCTGCACTAACAGGTGCAGATTAAATGTGCATGTTTATCACTCTGACGCACTCCGCAAAATAATTAAAACATTCCTAGCAGCTACCATATTGTGCAGATGGTGGGTCTGCAGACATTCCAGCTTTTTTTAAAAAAATCTGTCTGTTTTCATCCCCTCATGTTTGTGTTTCTCTGAATAATCATCATTTTTCCAAAGTACAACAATTAAAGCCTTTAACTGTTGGATTTATACCGCTCGTTAACGCTCACACCAAAGTTGCACCGCATGTGACACTGCGTATTTCAGAGGAAACGTGACTGAGGTGACGTTACAGCCACACAACCTTACTTAGGGAAAAATAAACAAACGTTATTGAGCTTGTCAGTGCTATAGTTACAATGAACGCACACAAATGCAATAAAGTGGCTCGTAAAGTTAGCAAGCTAACAGGGGAGTAAATGCAACCGCTAACCAAGTTAACGATTGCTTATTTATTAACGTAAAAGTGTGTTACAAGCTAACAGAGCGACTTAGTTAACTGGTGCTGCAAATTCACTTGATTCGCTGCAAATATACCAAACCCCACTGTACTCACTGGTCATTCATACCAAGTCTATAAACATTCATTATTTATTTACTAGTGACTCTTACCTTGTTGTTTACACACAGCTAGCTTGCTAGCTGTTAGCTAGAAAATCCGACAACTGACTCGACTCTTCAGCCCGGGCCGACGCTGGTAAAGTTCATCAGCAGCAGCCAGGTAACACGCATCGGAGCACGATAAGAGAGCCGTCGGGAAAACGAGAACGAGCGAGAAATGTTGTCAGTGAAGAAACACCTCCGCTCGGCTGACCTAATTCCTTCGCGGGAGTTACAGAGCGCCCCCCTTGTCCGCCAAACCCGAAATGGCGAAATGTTGTCGTGACAGCAGCGGTGCATTATGGGATACATAATGCAAAATGGCTGTTGGTAAAGATCGTCTCCGTTTGAGTGATAACTCACCCGAATCCTAATAAAATAAAATCGTATACAGCGTGTTTTTTTCCCTGTTGGGAGCCTTCATAACGCAATGATTATTTCTAGAGAGCAACAAAATATAATACTGCTTGTTTGAGAAGATTATGTTTTTGAATACAGTAATACTGTTCCAGAGACAGAGAGGGAGACAAACTACAACTAAAATAACAAAATCCATCTAAAATGCACGATGATAGTGACAAAGTGGTGAGGTGGGATTAAATCAGGGGTCTGCTCTGACCCCCTTCTTGTTGGCAATAGTGATAGGTTAACCAGAGACTGATGTTTAGGGAACAGGTGGAAGAGAGCCCTGAGGTGGAGGTATGCTCTGGAGGGAAGAGGGGGTGAAAGCTAGTAGAAGACTACAGATTGCATGTGTGTTAATAAGAGGGAGAGGAGAAACAGTGGAGCTAGCAAGAAGAGGATTTTAAATGACTGTGTACAACCATCCAAAGCAATGGCCAGTGCACAAAAGAGGTGAAGAAGAGAGAGGGCGGATAACTGCAAAGGGAATGTTTACAAGATGGTTTGGACTTGCTGGTATTAACAAAAAGGAGGTTGAGGTGAAAGAGACGCTTAGATTTTCACTTCATTAGAAATGAGTGTGTCAGAGGGACAGCTCAGCTGGAGACGTGTAGTGAAGCAATATATCCACAATTCCTTCTTGGAGAGTGGATATATTGGACAAAGGAGGTTGAAAATGGAGCTGCCAGACAGGAGGAAAAGAGGAAGACCAAAGAAAAGTTCCAGTCTGGTCAGAGTACAGCCCTGCACACAGTAGAATTCATCCTGCTACTCCTGTCAGCAATAAACACCAGGGACGCCATACTGAGAGGGGCTCTGCAACAGACCTGCAACCTATGCATGGTGCCAGTCTCTTACTCATCTTCCAGCAGTGCACAGACTTACATGCACCTTTTTACTGCACATGTGCCCAAGAAACTTCAACAGGTTAAAATAAGAAAAAGTTAGTGTGCTTCATTAGTTAATGTGAATTCAGCACTTAAGGTGCAAGTCTGGAAACACACAGCTAAACCTTTTGAAATGGATTAAAGGTGTGTTATTTAATGCTGCTCAAAGACTAAATCTTTCAACCGTCACACTATTATAGTCAGTATGACAAACCTAACATTCTGACTCTATGATAGGATAACTCATTCTTTTACAGTTTCCCCTCTCTTCATTTGCACCGATGTTTTAGCTTTTCCTCTGAGTCGTGAATACAGAAATGTGACCACTCATTAACGGATGACACGGTGTTTACTTTGCGAAAACAAAGAACCTGGTTTATTACCATTTGACTCCATCCACCACAGATATTACAGAGCAGATTCACAAGTATGAAGCTTTTTTTTTTTTTTTTTTTTTTTTTTAAATTTAAACAGCAGCTGCTTTGTTTCCATACTCCACCCCCCTGACCTCCCCTCTCCCTCCCATTACCCCTGCCTCCTAATAGGGAAAAGCATTACAGGTGCAATATTTTATTTGGTGTGAAGACTGGCACCCTCAAATCATCCAGCTGTAGTCAGTCATACTGTGAGAGGGGTTTTTCATGTCTTAATATAAATTTATCCTTTCTTTTTTTTAAAAATTACAACCAGGATTTACATCCACCATCGTTCACTGCAGCCGCCAGGACCCATCTTCTCATTTCCAGACAACAGAAGAGATGTGACATTTAGAAGAGGGGGGAAAATTACGACCGTCTACTGTATAAAAATGTACAGTGGCTTTATTGACATACATTCCATAGGTTAAACAGCTGCAAAATAGGAGGCACACCCAGTATTGCACTTCATTAAAAGTTCTGGCTCAAAACATAACCCAGAATATCAAACAAAACTGAAGTGAAGAGTAGCAACTTCGGAATACAGCTATTTTTGAATAGTATCATTATATACAAGATTAGATAAATCGTACACTATTTTCCTCCCAAACATAATGTTCTTAACAGTCTTATCCATCAACTCAACTCCTTTTTTTCTTCTTCTTCTGTCAACCCATGATGCACTTGACAGCGGAGAATACTGTACAAGTTTACGAAAAAGTTTACATACAACAATATTTTAAATTTATAGTTAGGAAGCTGGAAACACGGCCTGCTCCATATTTTCTTTTTTTCAACTTTTTTTCAGACCCACGCTGATCCACAGTTGTCTATATGCAAATTAATTCATATTCAATGTTTAAACTTGTATTGATACACTTGAGTGATCAGGAGGTGTGCAACGTCTATAGAAGCCGAGGGAATACAACGGCCGCATGCAAACACGTCACAAGAAATTTATTTTTTTCTTCTTTTTTTTTTCTTTTTAATTCAATTGTTCTTTTGTCCCCCTCCCTCCCTCCCCTCACCCATTCAGGTCACTCTGAACCCAAACGAGTTACTGCTCGCGGTCGCAGCGGATCCAAGGATACTGACGGTGGTGAAAGAGCAGACCTGAGGACTCTCGGCGTAGAGCAGAAACCTGGTCCAGTGTCCAGGAGTCTTGGCAATGCAAGAGCCAAACTTGACGGCTGAGCTTCAGCAGCAGCAGCCAGAAATCACAGTAGACAAACTGGTTTTCAGAAAAAGTCTTGTTGTTTAGAAGGTGTGGGCGTTCCTGCACACCCCGCAGCCAAGAGCAAACTCTTCCCCCGTTGGTGGGTGGACTACATGCAAAGGGCATTCAGTGCCTTCCAGCTGCTTGCCTTTAGGCCCTGTGACAGAGAGGACAACGTTTACACATTAGCATTAAACCTCCTGGTAGGCAAATACAAAAAGAGATCAAGCTACTGTACTCTGGGCAGGTGCAGGGAGCGTAGGACAGGATGTCGAAAATATTTTGTCATCCTAGAGTTATACAGATGTAAGAACATCATGTTTCTCAAATAGGCCTGTCACAAAACCTTCCTTTGTTCTTTAGTATCTGTAAAAACTGCAGATACTGTAGACGACAACAACAACAGCAACAACTGGAATGGGAGATGCAAACACAGGAGCAGCAAAAGGTCAGCTGCGTCTTTCGAGCAGTGTGATCAGGTTACAGCAGACACTCTCACTGATCTAAACTCCTCAAAGACAGTGGCTCTGTACACCGTAACCAAGGTGACCAAGTTTCAGTCATTTGTTATTAAGTAGCAACTTCCAGGGTTAAAGATTAAGCCAAGCCGTGGCTACTGCAGTTTCTCAAATGAACACGTGAAGTTGACTCCAAATACAAGTGGAAACACACAGACCTGCATGTTAAGAGAAGTGTGCCACAATAAACAGTTTTGGTTTTTGATGTTCCTCTTTCATACCATCTGAACAGGAACTGTTTTTGTTTTCATAACCCACTCATTAAAATTGTACTAAAGTTATCCCTTAGTAGGAGGCATGTATACTCTGAGTGACAAGCAGATGCTGAAACAAGTGGATGCTTCACCTTAATAAGCAAACTTGCAAGTGCCTTCACAAACTTCACAATCTAATGCATAAATGGTTCCAAAAGCTAAGATTGCAACGGTCAAAATGTCAAATTTGTGGCCAATTGCTGATAACATGATGACAAAATACATAGGAATTGTTAAGCACCTGCAGGACAATGGGGCAATTCCTCTTTGGGGACGCTGGTCATCCTCTGGAAGTCATCATGGCAGGCATTACAGAAGTGTGTGGTGCCAAAGCAGAAGAAAACAGCCACAGAGCAGCAGTACCGGCATTTATACTCAAGGAAGTCTGTTCCATGCTTGGAGCACATCTGATGAAAGGAGACAAAAGGGCTGGGGTTATATTTTGCTTTTCAAGGACAGATGAGAACCATTTTTAAGGAAAGGTTTGGCTTTCTTTCTTTATTGTTATTCACTTAACAACATATAGGTCAGTTAGTTCTACAGATGTCATATTATTCATTTAAAGTGCTCCTCGCAGACACATTTCCCACCTGAGCCCTGGACACATCTGAGCATGCTCCACAGATCAGTTCACTGGGGTCGTAGTCGTCTCCCTGTCCTGCCTCTGCATCGCAGCGAGCCTCTCCCCCAAAATATGCCTGGAAAAGAAAAGCGTCATTTATTCTCCATCCTTATAACACAGTTCCACTAAAATATACTGGGTTTTTCATCCAGGTGGTACCTTCTTGCACTTGTAGCAAACATAGTATGCATATCTGTTCATGGCAAAGCCTGCAGGGTCATTGTGAAAGCGTGCCCCTGGTGTGGTTATTGCCTCACTCTTGTGCAGACCCTCGTACTCGAGCCTCATCAGAGCCTTCCTCCTCACATCCTCATATAGCTCCTTAATGGGATCGAGCAGGTCCTTGATCACAGAGTGATTGATTTTGTTCTGCAAACAACGAGACAAACAGGCCAGCAAGTGTTGGGTTTACTTCACATGCTAAAACGATAATGAACAAAAGCAGTCGCAGTATGGGAGGCAAACGCTTTTTCAACAAAGCACTTAAACTTGAGTCAATCAAAATTTAGGTGTGGTGAAAATAGTCCAGTCCCTTTGTCTTCCCGTAAGTCAGAGAGGGTCAAGTAGCATTTTACCTTGCAAATGGGACATAACATGAACCCGAATGTGATCCGAGGCCCCAGCCAGCGATTTTCAAGAACACGCCGAGTGCACTGAAGGTGGAACACGTGAGTGCAGTCCAGCTGGAAACGGATCAAAAAGTTAAACATTAAACAGGAGAACAAATTTAAATCCCGATGTGACGCTTTTAACGAACAAAGAGCTACCTGTATAGCAGGAGCAGCAGACAGGGCTTCAGTGAAGCAGATCATACACATGTCATCCGCATCCTGTTTCAGGCAGCCCGTGTTCTTGTCACAGCCGTGCAGACATGGAAGGCAGCTGTCCTCGTTTTTGACTCCTCCACAAGGGTGTCCACAGGGATGAGTCTTACTGCACGCCAGTTTAGCGTACTCCTGAGTGGCCACAGGAAAGAGTTGGTTAGTG